CTTCGGTCGTGCCTCTGACTCCAGCGACAGGACCTGCCAGTTTCGTCTTCCAAGACGTGGGCAGTTCTCTAACTTAGGGTCCCTTTCCCGAAGGGTCCAAGTATCCAATAATCATATACTCACCAAAACCCTAACCTACATAACTACTATCCTAAAGCCGAGTACCTAATTATTGGGTCCTTTGGACCCTTGGGGTTTTGGGGGACCCCTATAGAGTGCGACACGCTCACAATGCGGAGCCTACTTTAGAGAACTATACTCATGTGTATCTAAAAGGACTCTGTGAAATTTAGGAGTGTTTGGTCCAGGGCTTTGGGATCAGGGTCCAGGGCCTGAGGGGTTTGGCGATTCCAATAGTTAGGACGCATCATGCACCTCAAGTGCACGACATCGTACTTGTAACTCCTAAGGCCCTTCTACTCGGACCCTAGGGTGGAGCTGGAAAGCAGAACCCTAGTTCAGGACCCTATACTACGGAGGAATACTTTTCAGGATGCCAAGAAGCTGACCTACTTTCTAGGTCCCCCCCAAAGGTTTGGTAATCGTTCGCTATGGCGTTCGAGGGCTTTGCCCAGACACCTGAAAGGATCTCAAACATGGAACTACTTTGAAGCTTTTCGGACTTCGCAAGTTGGCCACCAAGAACCGCTGCGTTAGTCCCCATAGCCCATCCTACAAAGCCTACTTCTCTCATCACAACACCCTGAAACCCCAACCGAATTCTTGTCAAGAACCCAATGAAACCACGAAATCCTCTTCAAGCCTTTTCTAGAAACCTACTTTTTAACCCCAGGTCCTGAGCCCTACTTTCTGTTTTAAGGGAATAGGGTTTCAGGCCTGCTGCTGCGTTGCTTCGCTCCGCGTAGCATAATCACGGCTCTGTCGGTACTGGGCCAGGGCGGTCAAAGAGGCGAAGAGCTTGTAGACAAGCTTCCCTAAGGTCCATGTACCCATATAGCATATACTTTGGGCCCAATGTACCTATAGGGACTACATTAAGGCCGATGTATATACTATATGAGTACATGGACCCTTAGGGTTTAGGGTTTAGTAGACAACACAAGTTTAGGGTTTGGTAGAGAATGTTATAAGCCCCAACCAACAGAGCATACTCCATTGAGTTTAAGTTTCTATAGTAGTAGTTCCTATTAGACCCACCATATGTTAAGCACAGCGTCTCCAAGTAGTTCCTGAAGGAACCCGCCCATCAAGAGAAAGGACTGTTTTGCAGGTTCCCGAATGAAAGTATAGTATAACACTCCGCCATGCCATACCGCAGTACAAGTTGTTGAGGGCCTTGATGGTTCGGAACTTAGAGTTTGTGCTCTGCACGCTTGTTCGGGGCGTCAGAGGCAGACGGGGCAGTACAGCGTGTCCTAGGGTCGAGGCATACTAAGCTACATTTAACCATCTTCGGCCCAGGTGTCTCACTACAGTGTCCTTGAGCTGTTGCGGTAAGGCTGGAATGTGCAGGGCTGAAAGTTTCAGGGGAGTAGTTTGGCGGGCCTCTTTCGTGTTCAGGGCTTAGGACTCTGCAGCCCTAAACCCTGAAACCTCAACCACAACGCGTGCGGGTGTGGATTCTTGGATTCGTGGCCTCTAGACCGTAAGCTTTAAGCCCTACATCCCCGGCGCAGTATGCTTTCAACACAGGTCCTTAAGTACAAAAGTTTGGGATCGAGGAGTCCAGGATTCAATCCAGGCAGCTCCAAACTCTACAGCCAACGAGGAGAAACAGCCACAAACTCTGCAGCCCAACCCTACACCGTGGCAATGCAACTTCACGGCAGCGGTTACAATATACTGCAGACTACCCATTGTTTGAAAACACTTTCAATGTACACGTACATACATACATACACAGCGCTGGGGAGGTGCGATGCTTAGTGGCCATACACGAAGAATGGTCTCCAGGAAACACAATTACGTAAACCGCGATCCGAAAACCTAATCCTATCAACAACCTCAGAACCCTAGAATCTATAAGCTCTAAAGGCCAACATGAACTCAAACTTATCAAAAACCCACAACCTCTTAACCCTAAGCCCTATATTATTTTGAGTTTTTGATAGATTCAAAAGCCCACCTTAAGGACGAAATGAACATTTAGGACTTAAGGTTCATATACCATCTAGGGATGCATAGTACATGGGTATAGGTCCCCTACTTTTAAGGATCATTTGGTCCTTCAGGCAATAACAACTCATTAAAGAGCTGGGCCTGTCGGGAAGCGCTCTCCAGGTCCTCGCTGACCAGAAGCAAGGCCTCTTTCACCTGGCAGCTTGCGGTCACCTTTCGGGTTTAGGGGTTAGGGGTTTAGGGTTTAGGGTTTAGGGGTTTAGGGGTTTAGGTTTAGGGTTTAGGGGTTTAGGGTTTAGGGGTTTAGGATTTCGGGTTTAGGGGTTTAGGGGTTTAGGGTTTAGGGTTTAGGGGTTTAGGGGTTTAGGGTCCAGCAGCTCCGGATCGAGCAGTTTTACAGTAAAGTAGTGTTTATGGTTTAGAAAGAACACCCACCCACCCTTGTAATCCCATAACATTTGGAAAATAAAAAGTGTCACTTCATTCACAGCTTATCACTACTATCACCGAACGTTACACAACATTAACAGAACGAATATAAATAAGCGCAAGCTTCAAAAACTCGCTGTCGATGTTCATTCGAGGCCTGTTACGTAATCGTCTTAAGACATCGCCACCACAACTGTCAAATTCGATCTCATGTCTTTCAATGTTTCCACATGAGATTGTGTCTAGTGCTATGCATCGAGTTCGTCGAGCCCCAAAGCAGCAAGGCCACATTGCTGTTCTCTACAGTCGTTAAACCCTAAAAACATTGCGTTCTTCTTGCCGGTGGATTTCTCAAGAGAGCTACTGAAAGAAAGAAAGCACTGCCTGAAACAGCTGAGTTGCATCTCCTCAACTCTCGATCGACAACAGAGGAAGTGCCGCCAAAAGCTCACCCTTCAGAGCACAGTAAACCCTAGAAAAAATATTATCTTGCCGATGGATTTCTCAAGAGAGCGACTGAAAGAAAGAACGCACTGCCTTAGACAGCAGAGGCTGCGGTCAGGACATCGTTTCACGAAAGCAACCACAGCTATCAAACTCGGTTTCATGTCTTTCAATGTTTCCACATCAGACTGTGTCCACTGCCATGCATCGAGTGTCGACCTGCAAAACAGCAAGGCGTGTTTCTCTACAGTCGTTAAACCCCAAAAAATGACTTCCTCCTGCCGATGGATTGGTCAAGAAAGCTACTTAACGAAAGAATGCCCTGCCTTACACAGCTGAGGCTGCGGTCACGAAATCGCTTCACGATAGCACGCACAGCTATCAAATTCGATTTTATGTCTGTCAATGTTTCCACATCAGACTGCGTCCACTGCCATACATCGAGTTTGTCGACCTGCAAAACAGCAAGGCGTGTTTCTCTACAGTCGTTAAACCCTAAAAAAATCATTTCCTCCTGCCGATAGATCGGTCAAGAGAGCTACTTAAAGAAAGAAAGCATTGCCTTAAACAGCTGAGCCTGCGGTCACGACATCGCTTCACGATAGCAACCACAACTGGCAAGTTTCTTTGCGATGACCGTCCAACAGCTTGTCCAGGGTCATGGAGTCGAAAGAGGATTCACCGAAAGTTTCGAGCAGTTGGGATGCGACGGAGTCCCAAGGGAAAAGCTTGACTCGTCGTCGTTCCTTCTTCGGCAGTTCCCTTGACACCTCCTGGGCAGCGTCGGCAAAGCCCGCACCGAACAGGCCGTCGGACATGGTGCGAACCGAAAGGGTAGTACTTACTGATTGTTCTAAATTACTGCGCCAGCTTGGAGCCATAGCCGCCGTCCAGGGCGACAAGGTAGCCTGCGGCTCTTTGCAACCATGGATCCTTACATCATGACACTGCGATGGGCCACGGTGCAGGCAACAGCTTTTGATAGCCGTGCTTGGAACATGATGCCAGGAGGGCAAGGCTACAGTTTAAAAACGCCTCTGGCGAGCAAAGATCACTTTTCGGTGCGTTTCTTGTAGGAGCCTCTAGGTGCACGCTTCGGTCGCTGAGGATTTTTCTGATGGCGAGCTCTCAGGCCTCTTGTCCAAGTTCACGTTCCATGATGTTCAAAGCCTGCTTCAGCATCTGCTCGGACAACTGATTCAGAAGATGCGACTCGGAAATTCCACGTGAAGCGTCTGCATGGTGGAGCTGCAGCATAGGTCACACAGGCCCGTCGGGCTGGCAGCTGCGGGGCCAGAGAACTCTCCGAACGTGCAGGGACCAGCGCTGCCTTTGCACAAACCATGTCCTGAGTGTGGTTTCCACTGATCACGCAGGTGTTGGCCGGAATTGCCAGCTCTTTTGTCTGCAGCCTTTGGCTTCTTGATCGGCTTCACGTGCGTCTTCTTTTGCTCGGTTTTGACTTTGTTGCTTGTCACCTTCTCGCTAGTCGCTGGAACGAAGTCGTCGTCTTCCAAGTCGAAAGGGCCGCCGGGTACAAGACGCATGGAGAAAGGCATGACACCGTTTGTTAGTGCAATACTTCGTGTTTCGAGCTGCGAGCTACGCTACGCAATGGCATAAGTGCCACGGTCTAGCAAAAGAAGCCCTGGCCACCAAAGCCACAGCGCCTGCGTTCGGTGCCTCAGGTAAGTGAACATTGTCTCCGGGTGCCTTACATGGCCGCAGATTACTGAGTTTCGAGCAATTGCAGTGGGAGAACAGCTGCAAGCGGATAGTCCTGCGAGCTAAATTTTGACCAACGCCAAATCTTCCAAATTTGCAGAAAGCAATTCCGTCGAGGCACGTGGTCTCTCGCCAGAGACGTCATGTCTTGTGCCTTGGCTGTTGCAAAAGCCATAATAGCACCAGGTTTTAAATACTACAATCACCCAATCCCGGAAAAAAAATACACAGGAAAAAGATTACTGAAGACATTAAAAATTTTAAATTAGATCAAGTCTTGCAATCACGGTTTTGAAAAGCACTCAATGTAACTGATGCGTACGCTAAACCTTAAACCGTGCTCTCTGCCTTGAAGGATCTTCCAATTCCTCACCTCCAAGGAAGATGTCTGCAGGCCTGGCTGGTCCAAGTGCCGGTGCAGCCATGGCACGTGCAGCAGGTACCCTTGCAGGTGCTGCATGGGGGGCTGGAATCCAATGCAGATCAGCTTGGGCCCCAACGTAAGGTTCTGAGATGTATTCCTGCAGGGTGGTGTTCCACTTCCCGGAAGTGAATCCAAGGGTGGCCAGCAAGTTGAGGTAGATTACTCTCTTGCCCTTGAACAAGGCTACCTGTCCTGGGTTATTTGTGTCAGGCCCTTGAGCAGCCATGCCTCCAAAGCAGTCTCCTGCTTCTGCCCAAGCCCATGCTGCCAGGACATGTGTTTTGAATTCCTGAAGAGAAATTCGCTTGATCTGGATCAACCCTGTTTCCATCAGCTTCTTGACGTAGTCCAGAGTCAGCATTGCTCCAGGCAGCAGCTCTGTCAATGGCTGTGCAGCTGATGCTCTGACTCTGGTCTCGAATCTGCCACCAGTAGCCTGATGAAGCCGGCCCAGGAGCTGGAAGGTGTAATCCTGAAGAACTTGCTTCCTGTTGATCATGTGGTGCATGTGGCTTGGCCACACAGGGTCCAGTCCTGTCAGGGCCAATCTTGTGTGGTGCAGGAGGGGATATAGCTGTATGGCTTTGCCTTCATCATTGCCAAAAGGGCCAGATCCATGAGGTTTTCCTTCGAGGGTTCCATAGATGAACCCACCCAGGTTTCTCTGAGAACCAGACACCAAGGGCAGCACCCTCCATTTGAAGCCATTCCGTCTGTCTTGCCAGACACCATGTCCACTGCAACGAATACCAAACAGCCACACATGGTTCTCATCCCTTGCCATGAAGCCAATGTCCATAGCAGTATGAGCATCTGGTACATGTGGAATCTGATTCAAGACTTCTTGTGGGCTCGGCAGCAGCAGCTGCTTCATCCCAAGTCCTCCCACATACACCTGGGCAATACCTGCACTCTGGAGCACAGCCTTGAACATCTCGCTCTGGACCTTGATCGCCCCTCGGGTCAAGCCTGAGTGCTCAGTTGGTGTGGCAACTGGCTGCTCTGATCCAGCTCTCCAAAGAACTTCACAGACATATTCCTTCCAGTCTTGCATGTCTTCACCAGCACGTACTGGAACATACACAGCCATTGGGTATGGGATGACATCCTGTGGCCTTTCTGGATATATCTTGAGGATAGGCTGCTGGAGAAGCTGGTAATCCAGCAGTGGGTGGTCTGGAAGCTGATTTGTTGAGACTTTGCAAAAACTCATGTCCAGGTCCAGGTGGAAAAACTGGATTGGGTTTGGCAGTGGCTCTGCTGGAGCTTGCCACTGAGCAATCTCAGTTGGCTGCCTCCAGGATCTCGTGGCCAAGAAGGCGCTGCAAAAGCCCCTCTGCAGTAGGCAGTATGCAGGATTTATATGTGGAGTGAATAAATACCTGCCAATGAGATCAACTGCCTCCAAAGGAAGGCTGGGAGCAGCCATGGTGCTACCGAAGCTGTTCTTGGTGCAAGCCAAACTGCTTTTGTGCCAAGGCTGCAATGTTGAAGACAGAATGAACCTTTCCCAGGTCATACATCGGCGATGTGGCTTCCATTGAGTTCCAGCCAAGCCAGAACCGAGCCAACACTGCAAGCTCATGAAACTTCCCCAACCCACCCTTGAACCACATTCAAGCTCCTCAACCACTACCATGCAAGTGTTTTTGTTTTCATTTTACAAACCGCTCAAAGCCAATACTCAAGCTCATGAAACTTCCCCAACCCATGGCCACCTTTGAACCACGTTCACGCTCCTGAACGCGAACTTGCCCTCAAACCTTTCCCAGGTCACACATCGGCGATGTGGCTTCCATTGAGTTCCAGGGAAATCGCCAGTTTGCCACTAATTTTCGCCAGAATGCCACTCATTATCGCCAGATTGCTACTAATTTTGCGTGACCAAGGAAATCGCCAGACTGCAACTAATTTGCCAAGGAAATCGCCAGATTGCCACCAATTTTGCGTGACCAAGGAAATCGCCAGATTGCCTCGCCAGATTGCCACTAATTTTGCGCGTGACCAAGGAAATCGCCAGATTGCCACTAATTTTGCGTGACCAAGGAAATCGTAGGATTGCCACTAATTTTGCGTGACCCAAGAAAATCGCCAGATTGCCACTATTTTTGCGTGACCTAGTGATTTCCTTGGTCTCGCAAAAATAGTGGCAATCTGGCGATTTCCTTGGGTCACGCAAAATTAGTGGCAATCTGGCGAAAATTAGTGGTAACCTAGCGAAAATTAGTGGCAATCTGGCGATTTCCTTGGTCACGGACCCGAAAATCGCCAAACTGCTGTAGTCGTACTAAGGTTTAAATACATATGATAAAGAGGGTTTAGGGGTTCAGGGTTTAGGGTTTTGGGGTTTTGGGGTTTCGGGTTTAGGGTTTGGGGTTTAGGGGGGTTTAGGGTTTAGGGGTTTAGGGTTTAGGGTCTAATGTAGGAGCCCTCATTGCTAACAAGCAGAACAGGATTTTGGTCTCCTGTACTCAGCAAAGTCACAATCAGAATATGGAACACGAAGGTAAAGTTATCGGCAATTATTCAGACTTCTAGATAATCGGGATTAGGGTTCATAGTGTTCGAACAGACACTAGACCATAAAACCCCGAAGCCCTAAGCCCTAAACTATAGCGTTGAGGCCGTCCCCCCTGAACCCGAAGTAAACAAAATGTTTGAACTTCAATGACACATGGCCCTAGACCCTAAACCCAACAACCAGTCTAGAGTTTGCCAGCCAGGCCTTGTAGGATACGGGCTGAATTTGAGCTTAAAAGTAATCATACTTATACCTACTTGTAACCCCAATTAAGATACTTATAACCTTACTAAGTCCTATGATACTCCAAGCATATTTGGGCTCAGGGGTCTTTCAGCGACCCTAAGCCGGCAACCTCAAGCCTCAAGGCGTAAAGTCCCTAAAGCCTAAGCCTAAGCTGAGGGCTTGCACTCAATCTCTAAATCCTAAACCCTAAATTCAATGCCCCAAGCCCAAATGCGCAAAAAAAACTTGAATCCTAATCCCTAAATTCAAGACCCCAGGCCCAAATGCACGAAAACCTGAATCCGGACCTGCCGCCGATCCTCTTCCGCGTCCTCGCAAGCCTTAAGTGCCTCGTTGGCCGCCATCCTTGGGCTCGAAAGCATAACACATTTTCTACAAGACATGTATATACATATATATATAAATATATATATATACATATATATATATACATATATATATATATATAAATACATATATATATATATATACATATATATAAATATATATATATATATATATATATAAATATATATATATATATATATGGGAGTTTCCGAAAATTAGGGGTACCTTATTGTGGGGGTCCCTATAATAAGGATCCTTCTGTTTTAGGGTGCTATGTTAGGGTCCCCTATTTTCGGAAACTGCCATATATATATATATATATATATATATATATATATGGTACCCCCCCCCCCCGGTACCCAGGTTGTGTCCTGTTCAAGCCAGACACCCTGTCCCTAATATTTGTTTGTGTTCCTTGGTCATTGCGTCTCTGGGAAAGCACATTTTCGTTTACTGTGGCTCCCTGGGCTTCTAAGTGTAGCGTCTACTGTAGTGTTGCTCCCGAGCTTTCTCCAAATCGATGGAACGTGCTGGAAATGTTGGAAAAACCAACAATTTCCATGATCTGTCTGTGGGGAATCATGGAAATTGTTGGTTTTACCAACATTTCCAACAATTTCCATGATTCCCGAAACTATGGCGCGGGCTCCCGAGGTTTTTCCAAATTCATGGAAATTGTTGGAAATGTTGGTAAAACCAACAATTTCCATGATTTCTCTGAAGGGAATCATGGAAATTGTTGGTTTTACTAACATTTCCAACAATTTCCATGATTCCCGAAACTATGGCTCGGGCTCCCGAGGTTTTTCCAAATTCATGGAAACTGTTGGAAATGTTAGTAAAACCAACAATTTCCATGATTTCTCTGAGGGGAATCATGGAAATTGTTGGTTTTACCAACAATTCCAACAATTTCCATGATTCCCGAAACTATGGCGCGGGCTCCCGAGGTTTTTCCAAATTCATGGAAATTGTTGGAAATGTTGGTAAAACCAACAATTTCCATGATTTCTCTGAGGGGAATCATGGAAATTGTTGGTTTTACTAACATTTCCAACAATTTCCATGATTCCCGAAACTATGGCGCGGGCTCCCGAGGTTTTTCCAAATTCATGGAAATTGTTGGAAATGTTGGTAAAACCAACAATTTCCATGATTTCTCTGAGGGGAATCATGGAAAGTGCTGGTTTTACCAACAACTTCCATTATTCCCGAAACTGCGGCTCCGGCTCCCGAAGTTTCTCCCGATCCATGGGAATGGTTGAACATGCCAACATTGTCCACAGTACATATTTCAATACGTTGTTACCGAAAGTTGCGATTGAGCAGATCTTACGTACTCGTGCGAGGCGTTTTGCAGACAAGCCGGTAAGGTATTTGCATCCTTGATTAAGCTCACTAGTTGGTCCAACACGAAGCTAGGTAATTCATAGTCTCCGCTTGAAGACACTACTGTGGGAACACCAGTTCATGGGTTTTCTGTTTATCACATACAAGGCTGTACTCCATGTCTAAGATTCAAAAATTTATTATAGGAAAGCTATTGCTGCACGACCAAGCTTAGCTGGCTTATCACCCACTTCTTAAGATAAATGTAGAAGGATCTACTTATGTTGCTTGGTGTTTGCATGGGGGTCTTTGGTCGTTGTGGTTGTGTATTCTTGTTTGGTGTGGCACTGGTGGTTAAAACAAACAAAGAGCCCGTAGCCAAAAGACTACCATGTGCACCAGAATTCTGACATACATCGTTGTCAACTTGTCACCATTTGGTAGGTGCAGACTTTCGAAAACGATTCTGCGACCAATAAAATGGATATTACCTGTATGATGCACGCACTTTTGATGAACTGCACTCGGATTAAACATGTCGAAGTCACCTGACGTGAAAAGACTATAGTCGAACTAATTAACTACAACATACAACCTAGCGTGTAACACGCAGCCCCGGCGTGTTGGATCATGTTTGATTTGGAAGACTAACAACCCACTCTCAGCAGGTAAAAAGCAAGCCAATGTGTGACTTGGTTAGCCATCATCCTACCAAGAAGTGTTTTGAAGCACAAGTGTACGTATTCACATGGTGCTCTGTGGTAGGTTTATACTCAACTTAGCAGAATGTATAAAACACAGGACTCAGCAGGTACTTCATTGACTTTAAAATAATTGGCTACTATTAAGCAAGGTTCCCGAACAATATACGAAGCAGTCTGAATGAACAATCAGAACAGTAATTGACACAGTAACATTCGATGCAGAAATTAAACAAGCCGGGTGGTACATGGTCCTAAATGGCCTGGTATTGGTGAAGTATGATAACCACTGTAACAGGAATAATGGCATTTTACAAGATGTGATAACAACACTGTGAGAGGTAATATTAAAACCACAGTTGACATTTTGAGCTCGATATAGAAGAACAGAACATGTAGCAGTTTCATGACTGGGAAAAGAAACGGAGATCGGATTCCTAAGGCAATGGAGACTATACTTGCAGTAACAATTGCGAAGCCTACACACACCGTCGTGAAACACGATTTCATACTTTTGTCGCTATTGACTGCTAATTTGACAGACACGCATGAATCATTGTACAGTGCTGGAGACTAAAGGCTTTGACAAGTATACTGACACTATATGACATTGCTTTCGGCTTATTCCATATATGGTTGTATGAACCAATGAACACAGCAGTTCATGTGAGAGACTGCAACACCCACCACAGCAATGACATCGTTGCGTGTGTAAAAAACCATAACGACAGCCAATTAAACATAGCCACTATCCACCTTGATCCGAAATCTGCGTGCATGGCCTTGGGGATGCTATAGTATCACCTCTATGCCGTGCAAAGCTCTTTCTCTTATACTGGGTTTCAGTAGGCCTGCTTCGCCATACCCTGCAATTTGTCACACTCGCTCACTACTAGTACTATATGTCGGCTTATCGCGAGCATGCGCGTGCACTTGCAGCCTTTTCTGTCCGACTTCCTTCGTGCTATCAGCACAAAGACGAAAACCTGGGTACCTGAGGGGGGGGGTAGCATATATATATATGTGTGTGTGTGTTTGTAGCCATATACGTTAACACATGGAAAACTGTTGTATAAGATGTAGTGAGGTTTTATCTGACCATAAGTGACACTATATTGAAGCGTGTTGATAAATGATGCAGTACCCGTCTTTTTCCTATGACGGATATCGTTGTGGTGATGATGGTGCTGATGATGCGATAAACCCCAACCTCTTAAAACCTAAACCCTAAGCCCTAAACTCCTCAAAACCTAAAACCGTAAGCACTAAACTCTAAATCCCAAGCCTTTACTAAACTTACCCCCAAACCCTGAACCCTGCCTGGAGGTTCATGGGTCGTTATAAGTGGGCTTATAAGCACGGCAACCATAGTTATAACCCACATTAAGGGACTTATAACCCCACTTATATCTACAGATGAACCTCCAAGCACCCCCTTAAAACCGAAACCCCCAAAACTCCCCTAAACTCCCCCAAAACCCCCCACCCAAAAAAAACACACAAAACCTTCAACAAAAAGAAAGCCCTTAAAACCGAAACCCCTAAACCCTAAACCCCTAAACCCTAAACCCGTAAGCGGCCACTGCGGCCAAAGGAGCTCGGCCTCTAGGCTTTGCTGTTGCGCCAGCCGCTTCTCCTGACAGAAGCATACTTGAAGGATCATGGGACTTAGTAAGGGCTCTTAAAGGGCTCCTCAAAGGGATCTATAGGGTTCCTTAAAGGGATCTATGGGGTTTAGGGTTTAGGGTCTGCTTGGAGGGGCAGGGGACTTAGTAAGTAGGGTTATAAGTAGGGTTATAATTGGGGTAACTCCATTTAGGGTACTTATAACCCTACTTATAGCCTACTTACTAAGTCCCCTGCCCCTCCAAGTAATATAGGCAGAACATTTCAAGGGACCTAGAAGGGTTCCTTTGGAGGGATCTATAAGGGTTCCTTTGAAGGCATCTATACGGGATAGGGGTTTAGGGATTTAGGGGTTTAGAAGGTTAAGGGTGTAGGGTTTTCATGTAGGAACCTGATTAAGAAACCTTGGGCCTTTAACTAGGGTTCCTTTTATGAATCCTACTCCTTGGGGTTATAGGCCCAGGGTTTCTTAATCAGGTTGCTACATTACCCCAACATGTACTCTTTTGGGGAATACCAGGGCCCAAGGGCCCTTCGATGGAGCCCTTACTTGGAGGGGCAGGGGACTTAGTAAGTAGGCTATAAGTAGGGTTATAAGTCCCCTAAATGGAGTTACCCCAATTATAACCCTACTTATAACCTTACTTACTAAGTCCCCTGCCCCTCCAAGTATGGCCTGTAATAGTGGGTATTTGGGGTATATTGGAGGGTAGATAGGAGGTCTAGGTAGAGTGTAGGGTTTAGGGACGCTTGAAGTTTAGGGTTTAGGGTTTGGGGGCACTTGGAGCTTAGGGTTTAGATCTTGGTCGAATACTTGAAGCATACCCCAGAACCAGTTCTAACTACTAAGCCCCTGTACAACCCTACTGTCATAGCTAAGCCCATTCAAAGCCTTATGAAAAGCATTGAAACTCTATTGTAAATGTTCGGCCCCCCTCTAAAGTAGAAGCCGAACAGTTGGAAACCCAATAGCCTCAATCCTTAAGAGTGATCTATGGGGAAATCCCAAGACTATTTGGCCTTAATCCGGATTCCAACTTTATGGGGTTTACTGCAGTAGGGGGAAGGGGCCACAGGGGAGGCTGGGTTGGCAAGATTCTTGGCTCAGTGCTGAGAGCTCGCCGGCTAAAAATTGGGGTACGTGGCTCACGGTTCATGGCTTGGGAATCTAATTCGGGCTTAGGGCTTTGCTGGACCCCAAAGAACCTACCTTTTTGGGGTTCCTTATTACGATTTCTTTGTATAAGTCCTTAAAAAGGTAAGTTACTTGGGGTTAAGGGTTTAGGATGGCTTTGGGCTTAGGACTTTGGGTTGGGTGTTTGGTAAACGGCTGGCTGAGCTTGCACAACTCATCGCTGCAGTCGAGCGCTGTCACAGCAGTGTGCTCAAAGAGCCCAACACCCCTTATTCAAGGCATACGCGTCTAAGAGACATAGGATAAGATCTCGTATGATGACTCAAGGAGTGTGATGCTTAATTGATGGGCACTGGGCGTCGCATTCTCATTGAAGGGATCGATTCCTTCAGCACGGGGTGCTGTCCAAGAGCCCAATCAACCTTTTACCCTAAACCCTAGACCCTAAACACTAACCCTACACCCTAAACCCCTAAGTAGCCCGAACCCTAAACCCTAAACCCCTAAACCCTAGACCCCTAAACCCATGAACCCTGAACCCGAAATCCTAAACCCTGTGATCCTCTCCGGCGCGAGCAGCCGCGGTGGTTGCTTCTGCCAGCTCTTTTGCGGCTTCGGCCTGGTTTCTCAGAAGGGGTGGGGGGACCAAGAGACTCCGTTTAAAGCGATCTATAGGGGTTCTTTCAAGGGTGCCTGTAAGGGATCTATAGGGTTTAGGGCTTAGGAGACTCCAATATACTTTAATTCAGGGATTCTCCTTAAGTCCTATAATTTAACTTATGTTCCTTCATTCCTTAATTAAGGGATATTGGAGTTTCTACAAGGGCGTTCAGGGCTTTGGGGTTATGCAAGGGTTCCTCTACAGGCGATTCCTATAAGGGTTCCTACATGGGGTCTATACAGGATCTTTACAACGGGTACTTCGGGGGTTCAGTGAAGGATAGAATTTAAGCCTAAACCCTAAACCCTAAACCCTAAACCCAAACCCAAACCCTAAACCCTAAACCGTTAGACTTTAGCTTCGCCCTTAGGCTTCAGGGCTTGGGCTCAGGGGTTCAGCGAAACAAGTTTCGAGTTAAATGACGTCTGAAATCTGGGGGTTTAGGGCCCAGAGCCCTAAACCCTAAACCTGGGGGTTTAGGGCCCAACCCTAAACCCTAAACCTGGGGGTTTAGGGCCCAGTGTTTAGGGCTTAGGGTTTCAGGTGCAGGATTTGCGCCTTGGGGCCTAAGGCCCCATGTTTGGTCCAGGCTTTAGAGGTGTAGGTTAGGTACGGCCCCCTTACAGTAAGAGTCTATAATAGGGCTACTATTAAGATCATCATATAGCTATATTATGAATATGATTCAACTATTACTGAGTGGGGGCCGTACCTAAGGTTCTGGGGTTTAGGCATTTAGTGTTCAGGGTTGAGGGTTTACGTGTTTAGACCGGCTCCTGGCTGGTGGACAGAGCTTTAGAAGGTTGCAGACTCCTCCTTCCACAACAACACGGACTTTTTGAAAATTTGGTAACGTTATAAGGAGCCTACGGTTGATGATATAAATCCTGCATTACCCAGAATAAGGGATATCCCATAATTCCCACAGTTTAGGGTCTTTAAGGTAATGCAGGATCTATATCATCAACCGTAGGACTACCAAAAAGGGAAAAAAGGGTACTAGTGGGCATCCAAGTATATAATGGAGACCGGCAAGTTCGCCTATGCGTTTTTGCATCTTTTTTGCGCAAAGAGACCATGCTCTGGGATAGTAATATAGGGTTCCTGTAAAAGGGGTCTATAAGGGTTACTATAAGGGCTACTATAAGGATTTAGTGTAGGGGCCTTAATAATTAGAATAGGGTTTGGGGGCCCAAAATCTAATAAGGAACCCCTAAAACAGTATAGGTAATTATCCAGGCCTTTATAGTACTCTCGGGAACTCTCAACACAAAATGTCAACATCTTCGTTGTCACTATTGCGCACGATCGCCGCGACCACCAGAAGCAGCAACTCCAACATCATCATCACAAGCCTGAGCCCTAAAGCTCATTTCTCTAAACGCCGAACCTTACAACCCAGACCTAAAGCCTCAACCCTAAATTCCAGGTTCTTTTGGGCTTACGGGGTCTAGGGGTGTTAAGGGCGTGAAGGGCTGTAGGAGCCCAGGGCGAGGGGGAAGCTTCAGGACGTGCATGCGCTGGATGTTCGAGAGCCGCGGCTAGCATTGTTGGCGGCAACTCGCCGCAAGCATTCCAGGACGAAAGTTACCCCGTCTACCATATAGGGCCATTGTAATTACTCACAACCGCAAAACCCCACCACCCGCAAACGATTCCTAGCTCCTAAGCAAACTAACCTTTCGGAAGCCATTTGTCAGCACAGGCCAATCTCCGCAAGGCAAGAAAAGCGCTGCACGCGCATTCAGCTTGAAAAACAGCTTGGCAGGAATTAAATATCGTCCCAAAGCGCTGCAGATAAAGAACAGAGGTAACGTAGGAGCCTTCTTGAAATGACACCTGCTCCTAAATCACCAATACAATGCGATGCCTATTCAGAACCAATCGCAGCGCGCGTGACTTCTGCCATGGTGAGGTTGGTGCTGATTTGGTTGAACACACGGGAGTTTCCGAAAATAGGGGTACCTTATTTAGGGGTCCTTATAAGAAGGATCCTACTATTTAGGGTACTATATTGTACTATATTAGGGTCTCCTATATTCGGAAACCTCCACACAGCGCCAAACCCGGAAAGATGCAGCACTACTGGGAAGAGCAGGGCCATTTGCTACAGAGGCACAAGCTCACGAGGCTGATGGACTTCTGGGGGCATCGGCTCTACTGCGGTTTCGGGTGGCTTCTCCGGGTGGACCGGAGGCCATGATAGAAACCGCAGCACTGCTTGCGCATGGGCCCTGGAACCGAAGAGGACAAGCGCCGAAGATACCATGATCACACTAAACAAGACAGTGCCTGGCAGTAAATCCCACTGGTTTCGCTGCTCGTAATTCCAAAAGTCATTTTCGAGAAGCCAACATCGTTGCTCAAGCTCCAAGGCGCCCAGGAAGAGTAAGATCAAGACTCCCAGAATAAGGCTGTTGATACCCACTTCGAGGCACAGCCAGATGCAGCTTCTGCATCTGCCTTGCAGTAGATACATCAGCTGGAACCCAATGAAGAAGAGAATGGGCAGAACGCCGCAACCCCATCCGAGTCCTCGGATCAGTTCGCGGACAGCACCATTCAACTGCTCACTTCCGTGGAAATGGAGTTTGCTGGAGGCCGAGTCCATGAAATGCCACAACAGAGGCACTGTGGCTGCAACGCATTGTCGATACGTGAAGATATCCTCGGAGAGCTGGTCGGTAAGGTTTCTCAGAACATCGGTTCGCACCGTTTGTTCAAAGGCCTCGAGGCTTCCAAACCACGAGGTAATGCACTTGAAAACGATCTTCCGATCACACGGCATCGCTTCGCCGTTGTCGACATGGTTAGTGCTGCAACACCAAGAAAGAGTACCCTTGACATCAAAGTCACGAAGCTCGACCTTCAGCTCTTGAAGAGACCGGTAGTAACCACGAACTGCTGCAACACTCAGATAGTTGCCTTACTTGTTGATGCGGAACTAAAGGTTAACCCGGGAATATATAGGTGTCATACTACCCCTCCTAAACCCTATACCCTAGACCATATAAACCCCAAGCCCTAAACCATGTAAACCCTGAACTCTTGCAAAGCTTAAAGGCCACCTACTCGACGACAAAGGTGCCGATGGCTCCACAGAGTCCCATAAGGGGCCACAAGATGAACTTCTGGCTGTCGATCTCCGCCCAGGGTAAAAATCCAATGGCCTTTCGGGTTGGTTGTGGGCTTAGGGTTTAGGGTTCTACGGTCTAAGGTTCCTGGGTTTAGGGTTCATGGGTTTAGGGTTCAGGGTTTAGGGTTCATGGGCTAATGGGTTTAGGATTTACGGTTCATGGGTTTAGGTTCTACGGTTCAGGGTTCATGGGTTTATGGGGTTACGGTTTAGGTTCTAGCAAAGCGTATATTGCAAAACAGTTAAGGCCCCAAGCCCCATGCCGAGCAGCAAGGAGTGTGCAGGACAAGGCGATAGGAATGCATATGAAGCACTGACCCAGAATGGTAGGCCTGACGAATTGAGCTTACTCCAAGGGTCCAAAGGAGGCAATAATTCGGCACTCGGCTTTGGGATCGTAGTTATGTAGGTCACGATTTTGGTGAGTATATGATTATTGGGTACTTGGACCCTTGGGGTTAGGGCTTCAAGGCTTAAGGGTTTCGGAATGGGGGGGGGGGGTAGGGTGAAGGGCTTGACCCTCGTATCCTAACCCCTACGCCCCAAAAAAACCTAGGGATTTGGCCCAGAGTTGTAGGCCTGATAACGAGCTTCGGCTTCTGGCCCATCGGACGGCTATGAAGAAATGCAGCCATCTCGAATCTGAGCATCTTGGGTTTAGGTACGGCTCGAGGGTTTAGGTTGGGCATTATACGGTTTAGGGAATATATAGGGTAGCCCTAAACCCTAAACCCTATAATGTAGGGGCTTAGGCTTTAAGCTAACAACTTTGGAATATCCAGTTGTAGGATTTTGGGCTTGAGTTTAGATTCTAAGATGTCGACTGAAGAATTGATATCTGCCTAAACATTTAGGGTTTACGGCGGTTTAGGGTTTAGGGTTCAGGGTTTAGGGTTTACATGGCCTTCGGGACCAGCATCAGCTCTTGCAACTTTCCAGGGTTTCCTGCTCACTAATCCGACAGCTCTCGGTACTACGGGGTTATATGGGAGTTTCCGAAAATTAGGTGGTACATTAGGGTTCCTTTAAAGGGCTACTATAAGGGTACTATAAGGGTTCTATAAAGGGCCTTAGGGTTTAATTAGGGTTTAGAATTTCCGAAAGTGAGGGAGCACCTTATTTTGGGGTCCTAACATTAAGGGTACTACTATCTCAGGTACGACTAGCCCACACGACTGCAACGAAGCATGGTGCTGCATGTTCGTGGTGTGTGCAGAAAACAAATCAAAGACATGACGAACACACGCCCAGAAGCACACACCAAAGGCGGCGGGTGTATGAAGGGTCCCACAGCACCAACAACGTCTCCGAGCATTTCAGAAAGGCACCAATGCTGATGATTCCTTCTGATTTATCTTGCTCATTCCTCAGTCAGTCTCTGCTAACTGCTAACTCAATGTAGGACCCGATTACGAAACCTTGGCTGACATGATGGGATCCGCTTCACGACTCAGGGATGTCTTAACCATCAACATCCTGGCATGGAAAACGGAGCACAGCGGATGCTGTTCGATTTCGGACTCGCCGACCTTCCTGCAAAAACTGGTACCCAGAGACTCCAAAACCCTTTAATTAAGGAATATTCCTTAAATCATATTAGGGATCCTACTATAATTTAAGGTATATTCCTTAATTAAGGGATATTGGAGGCTATGGCGGCTATGGGGTATCTAGAGGGGCTTGGATAGTAAGGGTGCAGGACTGGGGCGGGTCAGGGCTTAGGATGTATGAGTGGTCTAGGGTTTGACGTCATGATGAAGCCCATTAAGGTAGGGATATCCCCATAACATGCTAATGCTTATGTGCTGTTTGAACCCTAAAACATGAAACTTGCTCAAGGACAAGAATCTCTTGATTAATGCAAAGGACGTCCAGGAAGACTTTCTTTTGCGGCCTCCAGAAGAAGAGCAGCAATAGGTACACCAAGAAACCCACCAGGCTGCACAAACCTGGGCTTCTTTGGCAGCGGCCAGAGAGAACATGTAGGCAGTTCACTAAATTAGGGTACCGTCTTAGATCCCAAATATAGTAATTACGGCACCCCTGTAAAAAGGACCCAGAAAGGCTAATTTAGAGAAATTTCCATGTGCTTTCTGCTTCCACGTAGCTTCTCCGCACACACAAGGACACCCACAGCACCTACCCAAATTGCAAGACCCTAAACCCTAAATCTCAAGAGCTAAACCCTGAATCCCAACTGCTGCTTTCCTTAAGCCCTCGGTCGAAAACCCAAGTTCCAGAGTCCACACCCTGACAACAAAAGAGAGATGCAAACAAGACCCTGAACCCTAAACCTATCAACAAAAACTAGCCTAAGGCCGACAACCCAAAGTACCGAACCCTAAACTCAAAAAAAAAAATGGTGCAGGAAGATACATTACCGGTTTAGGGTCTGGGGTTCCGTTGAGAAACCAGGTGAATTATAGAGGGCTTATAATATCCCCGAACGTGACCGACTACCCCAAACCCCTAACAGCCTAAACGCTGTAAAAGCCGTTAAGACGGTCAGTCCATGAGCCCGATTCTTCCGGGAAGGTTGGGCCGCGCAGGTGTGGCAAAACATGAACAGAATACGCGACCATTACCTTCAGTGCAGGGCTAAAGGTTTAGGGTCTAAGATTATACAGTCAGACTATGAGGTTCAACCTGGCTTGGAGGTCGATTTGCTGGGGCTTTAGGATTTCTGGGGATAGGGTTTAGGGTGTGCAGTGATCTTAAGTTTAGCTTTGGGACTATACACGGCTTCTGACTAATCAAGAAAAGCCAAACGTTCAATGCTCGAATGTTTAGCTACTACCAGGCAGATGAACGTGGCTGACACTGATGCAACCATACCATTGAAGAGGTAGAACGCCGTCAGTATCTTTCTCCACTTGCCTGGGTTTGTGCGTGAATTTGCCGTCACAATTTGCGGGTCTCGGGATGGGTACTTACCCAGCTGAAACCGTCGCGAACACAAAAAGCTGAGAACACTTCTGGCGAGTAAGCCCAGCCGCTTCCGTGCCAGCTGTGGCTCCAAAACCTCAGTCTGCGAACAGCCAGGGGGAACGGCTCCGGACTTATATCACGAAACTTGCACGATCATCACTAAAGACTCTGGTCATTTTCCGGCACAGGCCGAACACTAAAAACCTCACACAAAAAAAATCAAAACAGTCATAAACTACACCCTAAGCCCTTAAGCTGAATAGTAGGCTTAAGGCCCGCTAAACCCTAATCATCATCACCTGCACCCTAAACCCTACAAGCCCTAAACCCTAAACCCTACAAACCCTAAACCCTAAACCCTACAAACCCTAAACCCTAAACCCTAAACCCCTAAACCCCTACAAACCCTAAGCCCTAAACCTGCTCAGACATAGTAGGCTATGACCCCGAAACCTGAAACTTTAGAGGGCAAGATAAGTGGGGAGACCCTAAACCCCTAAAACCCTAAAACCCCTGAATCCCCTAAAACCCCTAAAACCTCAAACCCCTAAAACCCCTAAAACCCCTAAAACCCTAAACCCTGAACCCCTAAAACCCTAAAACCCTAAACCCTAAAACCCTAAGCCCTATACCCCTTTTCAAGATGAGGAGCTGATCGATCTTGGTCACCTGGAAGCTCCTCAGGGCTTTGGGATCCAGGGGTTAAAACTTAGGGTTGCGGTTTAGGGTTTAAGGTTTCGGGGTTTAGGGGTTTAGGGTTTCGGTTTTAGGGTTTAGGGGTTTAGGGTTTCGGTTTTGGGGTTTAGGGGTTTAGGGTTTAGGGTTTAATTAGGGGTTTAGGGGTTTAGGGTTTAGGGGTTTAGGGTTTAGGGTTTAATTAGGGGTTTAGGGGTTTAGGGTTTAGGGGTTTAGGGGTTTAGGGTTTAGGGTTTAATTAGGGGTTTAGGGGTTTAGGGGTTTAGGGTTTAGGGGTTTAGGGTTTAATTAGGGGTTTAGGGGTTTAGGGGTTTAGGATTTAATTAGGGGTTTAGGGTTTAAGGGTTTAGGTTTTAGGGTTTAAGGTTTCGGTTCTAGGGTTTTAGGGTTTAGGGGTTTGGGGTTTAGGCTTAGGGTGTAGGGTTTAGGTTTTAGGGTTTGGGGTTTAGGTTTTAGGGTTATGGCAGGGTTTAGGGTTTAGGGTTATGGTAGGGCTTAGGGTTAGTGTTTAGGGTTTACGGTTTCAGGGTTTAGGGGTTGGCCACTTGGGAAATCTTGGGAAGCTCCAAGTTCGCATACCGAAGACATGATGGTTGCGTGAATATATGTGAATGTACACATGCTCAGATTTTTCTGTGTAAAGGCATGCAGTTTCTGCCGTGGTAGCTTAACTTAAACCCAGCTCCTCAAAACAAGAACCCTGAACCCTTAAACCCTAACCCCTAAACCCCATCAACTCGAAACTCTAAGCCCTAGACCCAAAGCTACGTCCTGCGAGGCCCCATTGCACTTCCAGTTCGCAGTGCTCGGCCGAAACCTTGGACGCTGTCTAGTTGGGGTTTACTGGAAACCTGTTCGGAAACGAAGGAAGCTGAGCTACCACAACAAGCAAAAATACCGTTCATCAACCCAACCTCTGTGCAGTATGTGAAATTAAACATGTAGATGTGTAACACGTATAACATAACTGTGTATATGTAAAACATACAACTAGTAAGCTAAATCAGAGCGTAAATATCTATGTGTGTGTATATATATATATATATATATATATATAGAAAGTGTGTGTTTGTGTGTGTGTGTGTGTGTCCCAGCTGTCTGTTATACACCGCAATAGGCACCTCCAAAGCCGCACCCACATGTTAACGAGCACTGCCAAGACAACACACATCAAACCTGCCTTCTGGGTGCGGCAGACTGCGGGTTGAAGATTGATTTTCTCTATCCCGCGCCAATTGGGGGTTTCCAAAACTTCGGGGTACCTTATTTTGGGGCCCTTATAATAAGGATCCTACTATTTAGGGTACTATATTAGGGTCCCCTATTTTTGGAAACTCCCAATTCTACAACCCCAAGCACAAACGATGAGCCTCCGGGAAGTCCTCAAAGTATCAGCAGAATTCAAACCTGGACCTGGAGGGAAGGGGGGGGGTCACTCTTTATCGAGGATCCTACTTCTGGCGGTCTCCGTTAATTTAGGGGCCTTAATAATTAGAATAGGGTCTTGGAGCCCATCATACTATAATTACGATAAGGAACCACCAAAATAGTACAGGTAATGATTAATCAAGGCCCCAATATTATCGCTGAAGCTTCATCTAGCAGCCGGCGAGGGCATGGGCAGCTGTCACAGCCTGAACCACTTCTGGCTTCACGGGTTCCATTCCTTGGTGGGGATGAGCTGCAGGGGATGCAATAACAAGCGCGATCTGTCTTGTCCAATATACTTTGTGTTCTAAGGTGCATACGGTTATTCGAGTGTGGCAGCTGCACACGATGATGAAGCAAATGATGATGCTGATGCTGCTGATGATGACGATGAAGACGATGATAATGATGATCATGGCGATGATGGTGGCTACGATGATGGCCATGAAACACCCTGGACAAGTCCATATGAACACATGCCGAAACCGATCTGTTCATGATGTTGAGAAGCCCGAACCAACAAACCAGATCGAGCTTCGTGAAATGAACCCAGCGAGGAACTCCTCCATCTCATCAGACTTGTCATCCTCACCTGCTGAAGTTGATGGCCGGGTGAATAATATAGGGTCCTTGATGGTTAGAATAGGGGCTTGGGGCCCACTATAGTAAAATTATGATACGGAACTCCCAAAAAAGCATTGGGAATTAGTTAGATAGGTCCCTATGTTACAATTGATGCTCGGGTGAGTAGGGATCAGGTTCTAGCCGTGGTTGAGGCTCTAGACTTCGCTGGGTTCCTGAATTCAGCTTAGAACTGAATCCTTCACGTCCGTCCAGGACACCTGAATACTTGAAGATTCATGGTTACTTGAAGGATCGTGGGACTTGTAATTAGTAATTGGGGTTATAAGTATGGTGACTACAGTTATAATAACCCTACTTACTAAGTCCCATGATCCTCCAAGTATGCACTGTTTAGGTTCTACTGCTCGGATTGAAGGCGGGCTAAGACGGTTCACAGCCAGGGTTGCTTCTTCAGCTCATCTCCGAATCCGAATGCACCTTGCGAGCCACGGATAAATGCCGAGCAAACAAACCAAAGACCGACGGAGATTCCAGTTCAAAAGATTCGAAGGTTTAGGGTTTATGGTTTAGGTTTAAGGGTTTAGAGTTTAGGGTTTGGGTTTAGAGTTTAGGGTTTGGGTTAGGGTTTAGGGTTTAGGAACAGGTAAAACCAATCAAAGTGTGAAATTCAAGCCCGCCACAATGTCAGATCCACAACTACACAAACTTTCAACGCCCAAGTCAAAAGCCGACACCAGCAACTAGCCTGCAGAGTGCCCCCAGGACTTACAGTGTGCATCAGTGGCTGCTATCAAAACTGCTCACAGCGCAAAAGGACGTGGAACCATAATAAGGGCGCTGAGAGGAGCCATGATGTTAAACCTGAACCCAGAACAGTAGGTCAAATGGTGCTTGCAGAATACCGGTGGGACTTTCTTAGATAGAACCTGTATAACGACCCTCATAACAACCGTTACTAAACCAGATAGGATTACCCCGAAACTTCAACTAAGTCCCTAACCCCTCATAACATAGAACTCAGGAACTCTTTAAGGAACCGTTTCAATTTCTTAAGTATTAGGATTCCTCATAACATAGAACTCAGGAACTCTTTAAGGAACCGTTTCAATGTCTTGACTATTAGGATTACCCTAAACTAAAACCTCAGTCCTTAACCCCTCATAGAACCCATGATCTCTCTGTAAGGAACACCCAAACGCTCTCACGAAGTCCCTAACCCATGTTTAGGGTACAGGGTTATAGGGTTTAGGGTTATAGGGTTTAGGGTTTAGGGCTTCTATACTGAACTTAGAAGCCTAGCGCACATTATAATTTTAGCTGTTTCTTAGGGATTATAATAGCCAAAAAATAAAGTACCCAAAAGTAACCCGTCATAGAACCCAGGAGCTCTGTAAGGAACCGTTTCAATTTCATGTCGCCCAAACTCTCACTAAGTCCCTAACCCATCATGGGACCCAGGAACTCTTTAAGGAACCCCCTGAACCTCATGTCGGCCTGTTCCAGGCGATCGAGGGCTCGGTGTGCGAACCACGGGAGCATCGTCAGAGCACTCCATGAGGGGTGCAGGGCTCTAGGGTAGCGTTTAAGGCTTTAGGGCTCAGGGTGTAGGGTCTAAAGTTTAGGGTTTAGGGCCAACTTTGTATAGGGTTTAGGGTTTCAGTTGTTTCGGGTTTGTATGGTTTGGGTTTTGAGGCTGCAGGTTTTGGGGACTTCGGGACAGGGGGCTTTGGGCTGTAGATAAACGAGGTTAGAGCCGAGCTTTAAAGCAATTCCTGCAAGCCTGGACGGCCCAAACCGCTGCGCGACAAGCGGTGGGCTTTCGGAGCTTAGGGCTCAGAAGTTTAGGGCTTAGGGTTTAGGGCTTAGGGCTAAGATTCTGTATGTATGGGAGGTGTAAACATCCCTGAAGAACCTGAAGAACCTGTGCTCTCGGTTTTGGTGCTTTTCTTTTGCTTTTTCGAGTCACACAGTGTAACGGCCATGTCATGTCCAATGTGTCGGGGCCAAAACAAATGCCTTGCCAAACGCAAGCCTGCTTTCCGTAAGCCCTAAACCCCAGCTGTACCTGCTATCCGGAGCCCCTAAACAAAACCCCTGAACCCTCAACCCAAAGCCCCTAAACCCTAAACCCTAAAACCCTAAACTGTTATCCGAAGTCCCTAGACAAAACTACACAACCCTAAACCCTAAACCCCTAAACCCCAAACGAAATCTACACGTGGGTGGTTGTCAAAATTAGGGTCCCTTTTTGGATCCGTATTTTTTGGCGGCACCTAATATTTAGGGTACCACAAAAAGGGGACCATCACCTAATATTTAGGGTACCACAAAAAGGGGACCATAATTGGAGAGTCGCCTGCTACTTACCCCAAGGGTCCAAAGGACCCAAGGATTTGGTACTTGTGTTCAGGATAGTATAGGGTTCACGGATTTAAGGCTTAGGGGTTTAGGGTTACTATTTGGGAGAGTATATGATTATTAGGTACTTGGACCCTTAAGCTTATCACGGATCAGGCTCTATTGAAACTAAGAGTAGCAGCAGAGTTACGAGCACAGGCACAGCACACACCAAGCGGGCTATCCCATATCATCATACATGTGTATACGTATAGTTAGATAGATAGCTACATGATAAACATATGATTTAATTAGATAGCTTTAACCATAAAGTACACACTATAAGGAAGGCCGTGTCTGTAGTAAGCCTTATGGTAGCCCTTAGAAACCCCCTCCAAGGAATCCGGTTGTACTGTAATTAAACCCCTATGCTACGATTATAATACTCAAATCAATAGTATTGGACTTGTATCGCTATTACCATGTCCTGAAAGTTGTATTACACTATACTACACTCGATATACCGATAATTTCAAACTGCAAATTAGACTATTCTGTACCTTACTACCTTGACCTACCAAAAACTGCATAGTTGCAGGGTCCTTATAAAGTCCATATGAGGGTTTGTACTAAGAACCTACGAAAACCCTAGGGTTTGGTAGGTTCAGGTATACCGTAAACCCTACTGGGCCTTGTCTCGGGGTAAGCTCTGCCTTTACCGAACTTAGACCCCTAGCAAAATTGCAGTTTTTGGCTGTTTCTTAGGGATTATAATCGCCAAAGATTTAAGAGATTATAATCGCCAAAGATTTAAAAAAAAAAAAAAGTCAGCTCCCCGAAGATACGGAGCCTTGTCTCGGTTCAGCTCCTGCGTGAGCTGCCGTGCCCTGTCGAGCTCCACCATGGCTGTCTCGAGCTTTTGAGTCGCCTTCTTTGGGGTTTTGGGTTTAGGCCCCAGGGCTTAGGGTTTAGGGTTTGGGGCTCAGGGTTTAGGGTTCAGGGCTTAGGGTTCAGGGCTTAGGGTTCAGGGCTTAGGGTTTAGGGCTTAGGGTTGGTGAGTTGTTAGTGGCTCCACAAGTGAGCTGTTCGGGTTTGGGGTTTGAGAATGGTTCGCCTGTTTTGCGGGGCATGGTGTGGGTTTTCGGGGATCTAGGCGGTTTCGAGCTTTTGGGTCGCCTTTTTGCGGGGCGGGCGTGGGTCTTTACGGGGTCTATGCGGGTTTTAAGGGCTCTTGAGAAGCTTTACAGATTCTACAAGGTCTAGACCTAAGAGTAACCTAGGAATAAAAAAAGGTGCCCTTTTTGGTTTAAAGGGGGTTATAAGGGAACCTAAACCCTAAAAAAGGGAATAAGGGCCTACTCTGGATCCTAGAGGTCTTACGGATTCTAAGGGGTTGAAGGGGTTGAAGGGAGTCAAGGCTCCAGGGTTTTGAGGCTTTTATGCCTTCTCTTCAAGAAGCATACAAGGGTTCGAAAGGATTTTAGGGGTTCTAGAGGATTTGCGAGGATTGTGTAAGGTTTAAGGGCTTTCAAGGTTGGTTCTTCCGGGTTCTAAGTAAGGGTTACTATAAGGGTTCTGGGTTAAGGGTTTATCCTCTTTCTTCGAGAAATTGCTATGCCACTGCATCGCAAGCTGCCTCTTCCGTTCCTTTTGCTCCTCAGTGAGTTCTTCCTTCTTCTTCTTCTGGGCAGGACCCTCTTCGGGCTCCACGTCGCACACCGCATCCCAAGCATGACACACGAAGCTATGACATGGGTGGTTGTCGAAATTAGGGTCCCTTTTTGGGTCCTTAATATAATAATATAATACGCCACCTATTATTTAGGGTGCCCAAGAAGGACCCCTACTTTGATAACTACCCACAGGAACCCGGACACACGACAATCCCGGCGGAAGCCGGCTTCTTCCCTTGGATGATCGTCGTCGCATGCGGATAACGATCTTGGAAGCCGCTCATGAAGATCGCTTGGAGGTTCATGGGTAGTTATAAGTGGAGCTATAAGTCCCTTAATATGGGTTAGTTATAACTATAGTCACCCTAATCATAAGCCCACTTATAGCTACCCATGTACCTCCAAGCACTCTCTTGCAGGCAGATGGGGCTCAGCGGAGGCCGCGCCATCTTCTGCACGACCCCCGGGTCCATCGACGCTCGTCCTTTGGCGTACTCTTCTCGCCCGTCTTCGCTTTGCCATTCGCATGGTCTCTGCTGGAACAGCCTGTACTTGGAGGATCATGGGACTTAGTAATTGGGGCTATAAGTAGGGTAACTACGGTTATAGGTACATATAACCCTAATTAAGGTACTTATAACTCTTAACCCTACTTACTAAGTTCCATGATCCTCCAAGTAGGGTCTTGGTGCTGCCTGGCTGGGACCGCTGTGAGGCTCCGGCGCGAAACGCCTGCTCTGTTCTTCATGGTCTTGTCAGATATTTTGGGGTCCTTTTAATAGGGATCCTACGATTTAGGGCTAGGGTATTGTATTAAGGTCCCCTATTTGGAAACTCCCACATTAGGATTTAGTTGAATGTCCTTTTTTCGTGGGTTTCGGAGCCTTCAAGGACAAAGGCTTCATGAGGGAGCTGTTGACGCTAAGGACCTAAGGTTTCGGATATTTGGATTTAGCTCCGTTCAGGGGTTTAGGGTTTAGAAAAAAGAAGTTCAGTGTCGAGAGGTTTAGAGTTTAGGGACTGGGGTTCGGGTTGTATTATATGACTAGCGCAGAGACTTTTGGCTTCATAAAGGATCTGGTGATGCTTTATAGACCACTAGCTCTGAAGGCTGGATCCCTAAAGCCTAAACCCTAAACCCTACCTAGACGGAACCCTAAACAGGATTGCTTTCGCTTCTTTGCCTTTAAGGCTTGCCGGTGCAAGACTGAGATGTAGAGTTCAGGGCTTCAAGGATATGGGGCTTCAGAGCTTTACGGTTAGAGCGGTTTAGGGTTTAGGGTTTAGGCCTTAGGGGTTAGGGTTAAGGTTGGGAAGGGTATATATGATCTTTCGGCATTTTAGAGTTGAAAAGCTTTGCGATTAAGTTTGCCGTTTTGTCTTACGGGGTCTCAGGGTTTCGGCTTTAGGCTTCAAGGTCTGACACCTTAAGGTTCAGGGGGTCATGCTCTGGGGTTTGGGCTGTGAGGCTATGGACCCGTCTTCGTGGTCCTTCTCGCGTAACTCGGCACCTCATAGAATTCAACTTTGGACCCCCTGGCCCTGAACCTACAGGGAACTCCAGAAAGTTGGAATATGAATAAGGGTATTATAATTTTAGGGTTCTATAATGGTCCCTTTAAAGGGATCTATAAGGGATCTTACTATAAAGGGAACTCCAGAAAGTTGGAATATGGTTTCATGGTAGGATACCCTATAATTTACCATAGACGGGTTATATAGGATAATCATATTCCAACTTTCTGGCTTCTACCTTAAGAACTTGCACAGCAAACCATTTTGGCTTTGAAGCCGGGTGCCCCTTTATAGATCCCCTTTCACCTCAAAACCGACAATCCGAAGCCCCTTTGACAGCCAACAACCCCTAGCACCCTAAAGCGGACACTTATGAATGAGGTCGCATGTATGACCATACGGACCAAAGCAATTACCCATACTATTGTGGGGCTTATGGTATACTTGGCCCAGAAATCCCATTCTAATTATTAAGGCCCCTATATTACCCCTGAAAAGATGCATGCCTGAAGGTCGGCAGCAGCCACAGCCGCCTGTCGTCCCGTCAGGTCCTCGCTTAGGGTTTTCTATTGAAAAGTAAGGAGAACAAAAATCATGATGCTAGCAAAAGAGGACAGCGAAGTACGATAAAGCCGAAAATAGTTCAGCTAAGTATACTAGTACACATGGTACAAGACAGCTAATGTGTAGTGTAGTACACTACACTGTAGTTTCGCACCGTAGAGCAGAGTAGAGCAGAGCAGAACAGAGTATAGTATAGCACATTCTACGATGCCACAGTTTTATACTGACCCATCTTGTAGATGACACGGCCTAGACCTCGAACCCTAAACCAGACCTCATTGCGCGTCCTGGTCTTCTCGCGACAGCTTCGCGCGGAGGGCCAAGGCCTCTGCAAAGCTCAAAACGGACTGGGGTAGGGCCAGTTAAAACAGGATCCCTTTATTTAAGGGCTCCTTTTAGTTAAAAGGGGTCTATAATATGTGTTACTGTAAGGGCTACAAGATCGATTTAGTATACCTCAAGGCAT